ATTCCATCACTGGAGTAATAGGAATAGGCATGTTGGGGACAATAAGATTGGCAAGGAATAGAGCAGGATTTAGAGCTGTTGTACACAGGGTCGCTATGAGTCGCAGGTGACTTGACGTCACATAACAAGTATACTGGAGAGGCAAATGACTTCTTGTCATTACCACTGGGAGAACTTTGAGGCTTTCCTAGCTACGTATAATAGTAACTCTTCTGGTCTGTTCTGTATTCTGGGGTTAATCAAGCACCAAGGGGAAATGCAAGTAGTCTGCAAAAGATGGATCATGTAGCTTGATATTCAAAGAAATGAAAACAAAATTCCATAACAGCAAATAACCTTCACAAACACTGTGTCAGGGGCACTGAACACTTTCCAACTGAACTGATAAAAAAGGGATTTCCTTTTGTGTCTATATTATATGTTTCAGATGAACTTAAAACAATTAAGGCAGGAATGTGCTTGTCTCAATGTAGCTTAAACCTATGTGCGAACAGAACTCTGATACTGTGCTGTATATTTCAGTGTGACACAATCTTTTGGTTTTGAGGAAGAACAGAGCCCAGTGTAACTGCATTTAAATGAATACCACAGAAAATGGGCCAGACAATGGTAAGCTGCAATGAAGAATTTTGGCATGAATTTAAATGTATTAAATTAAATGTATGTAAGCACAGCACATACGTAATGGGCCAGTCAATGATAAACTGCAAAGAAGAATTTTGGTAATTACAAGTTGCAGTAGAAAAATCGCTGTCAAATACATTTGTGTCCACTGCTGGTGATTCTTTAGAAGACTGGGAACATTCTCATTCCTCCTGCCCCTGTACTGTTTTATACTTTTCCTTTCCCACTCATTGCTACCATTCAGGCTAAATCACTCATTTACTGACCTTTCATCTCACTAGGATATTTAAAGGGGAAGGAGCACAAAGAGGAAAGGAAAAAATGGGGAGAGTTAATGTATGAGCTGTGCTTACATAAAGGAGCAAGACAATGTGGAAGCCACTCATCAAGGGTTGACTTGTATCTACAATGGATCACGATTCTCAGTGGTTTGGCTGTTATACAATGTTGCAATATGGCAGTTATTTAAGGATATAATCATTCATCTTAATAGGATCTGATGTGTTCAGCCTTGATCTGCTATAAGGGGGCTAGGGTGGGATGGAACATCCTTAATCAGCTCACATCCTTGATCTCATGCCACCCACTTTCCTAGGGCATTGCCTGTATCTCCTTTTATCTTACAAGAGCTTGAAGGAGAAAGAAGCCAGCAGGGAGAAAAGGACCTCAGGGCCACATCGAAAATGAATTCAAGTCAGATTAGAATGCATCCTTTGTGCAAAGGATCCCTGTGCTGTGAACCTCCCAACCCCAGAAGATGATTGATGAGAAAGATCTTCCCTAACAGTCAACAGAAGGAAAAAGCCTGGGACTGGATCCTGATATCCTAAACAATAACAATATGTTTCGGTTTGTTAAAGTCATCCACAGGCAGCACTCCTGTTAACAGGAGCATTAGGTTACTAAGATACCCTCCCTGTTGGCACCAGCACCAAAGAATTCACGGCTGCTTGATGGTTTTTAATAGGTGGGCTTTGGGGTGATTCAGGTGACATATAAACAAGGGGCAGAGCAGGAAAGCATTCATTTTGCGACTTAGTCACAGGTAATTATTTTAGGTGGTCGCCTTGGATTCTCACCCCACTCAGCTGATCCTCAAACAACAAAGCTCACTGCCATCAGTCAGTTCTGACTCATGACCTTCCATTAGCTTTTTCAAGGTGAAAATTGTTACTAACGGATGGAAACTACCCATTTTCCTTTTATGGACTGAAGTCTGTGGCCCTTGTTAGAAGCACAATTAATTATGGATAGCACCAGGGTTCCCTCCAGATGACCCTCCCTACCTTTAATTTTACTGAAATCCAATTTTCCCTTACTTCCAACAAACAGGGTTAAGTGTTTTCCAGGTGTATTCCCCCAGTAACTCAAACATTTCTCTAATATCATTTAAAATATATTTTCTTACATTCATTTAAAAATCTAGATTCTATCAAGAGAGCAGTTGTCCAGCATAGTCAACTTGGCTCTGCTGCTGTAGTATCCAGTAGAACCCTATCTTAGTTATATAGCCTTCTGCTTTACCATAAATAAGTGCCTGCATTTAATAAACAGAAATGTAGCCTCCTAGTAACCACAATGCCCTCTATGTCTGGTGCTTCAAATCCACCAAAGGCTCCTGTGGAGAAAGATGTGCAACCCCTTTCTCTTAAGATACATGACTTGGAAACCCAGTGGACGGTCACGAATGTGTCCAAACTAACTCGATGGCAGGGGGAGCTTAGGAGGCTGCAGGTCAGAATTCAGGGTGCTGGTTCTAGGAGGAGATGTTCCCTCTGGAAGAAGGTCCTACTCTCAGCCCCTGGGTGATCCTCAGGTATCCTCTCACACATGGGGTCAGAAACACACCCAGAGAGGCAAGGATTTACAACACATTCCTTTGAGGAGTGGAGGTAGTCATTTACAAATTCAATTACAATATGAGCCTTGAACAGAACTGGCATTCAAGGAGTAAATGAAGTACATCTAATTTAAAGAGAATGAAAAGGGTTCAGAGATAAAACACACTTTATCCTTAAGGACGATAACATTAAATGCAGAATGACTGTTATAGATAATTATAAGATGATAGTGAGTAAATAAAATTGACTCCAATTTGGCTACATGGGGGTTTTCTAACATCGTAAATTGGAATTAAATATTTAGCTCTGTCTTCTGGGATAATCTAACCCACACTAAACATTTTGGAAGACAGCTTTATGATTTTATATTACAAATATGAGACAACAGGCAGGGCACACTAATTGAGTTGCTCAAGGCCATCCTTGGTAGAGAGTCAAAGACAAAATTTAAAACTTCAATGTCATCAATTTCCAATCCTTTGTGTTACTATGTATGTATGTATGTATGTATGTATGTATGTATGTATGTATGTATATATGTATGTATGTATGTATCTATTTACAGATAAAGACAAATATAGATATATTTACAGATGATTTGGCCTTTTCCTCCAAAGTTCTAGTGTGTGGCTGTCAGACTTCCACTTCTGCTTTAACAATCTTCCCTAAACTATCACTTTTCCAAAATATTTATACTTGTGTATAATATAGGTAATTTTCAAGGATTTCCCCCTACTTTATAGAATTAAACGCTTTTTGTAATATGTCCCTATACGAGGCATTTGTCTCGTGCTGAATTTATCATTAACTATTGTACCCAGGGAAGTAGTAGGTCCCTCTTTGTTCTCTGTAGAGTGTTACACACTAATTGCTATTCCAAATGCCAACACGTAAGGAGCTCATATTCGATACTCTGTATCCACAAATGTCCATAGCTAGCTGGCTGGCACATTCTATTGCGCTGGATGGGCATTTTGGTAGACTATGTTGCCAGTATTTAATAGACATTTGAGAGGCAACATAGGCTATTAAACTTAATGGGATTACTGGTTCCAATCTTTGTATTGTGAAAAAATAAACTCAAAAAAGATTTGAGGTTCATTAAGAAGGCTAGATATGGGCTCGATAAATATGCTTCTAAGTGGTATTCTGGGGCCAGTGGAAAACAGAAAGCCAAAATTCCTCAGAAAATTGTTACTACCTTCTAGCGATATACTTTTTTTTTTTTAAATTTAGGTTGTTTATTTTTCATTTCAATGAACATCTACAGAGATTTTGGGATTCCATTCATTCATTGTTGCACCCTTCTCCACGCACAAACCCCTCCCCCCTCCCTTTTGCTCCTCTCCTTGAAAAGCAAAAGAAAAACTCCCTCATTGGTACACAATCCCCCCTGCACCTCCCCAAACCCCAAATATAATCCACTCTGCAACCCTCATAGCGATATACTTTTAATGTACATAGAGCTTTGCTTCACATAAGAATATGCATTGAATATACTAAGCCCCAGACTAGAACAACCAAGGCTTAAAAAAAAATTGCCTGGATATGATACAAGATGTTATGAAGAAGTTAACCAGCACAAAACTGTAGTTAGCAAAACCTAATTTTATTAGACATATAAACTATATGCTTTCACAGCATTTCTTTTCCCTTTTAAGGGATGCTCCATCAAAAAGATTATCAAATCATAGGACATTGCACTTGTTCCATGCACTTTTCTTGATTCATCCTTCATCTGTACCATCTTTGCCCTTACTGCACACAGACCAGCTGTTTGTATCACTCTCCAGTCCTGCTTTGCAGCTCCACACCTACAAGGAACTCTAAATGTCCTGTTTACTGCTCTTAATCCCCAACACGGCCTAATGTGAATGGTTTCTGCCATGTCAGTGGAATTGATTATGGTTTCACCTAATAAAGACAGATATTAGGTATCTGTTTGTGAGAGGAAACATAACAAGAAAAAGGAGCTTAACATGAAGGGTTCACACTATGAAAAGGTAAATGAAAATTCCTGAGGAATCTTTTCAACACAGACTTCCAGTTCAAGAAATATTATGTATCCTGATGAACTGGAAACCTATACATGGTATCCAAGTCTTATGTTACGAGTACATTCTTGGTTCATCACTCATACTCAACATTTAAGCTTCCAGAATAATTGTGATTTTTCACTTGAAAATGTAAATTCCCTGAGTTCACCCTCATTCATCAGTCCTGTGTTGGGTAAAATGACTTTGAGAGGAAGTTGCTTTCATTTCATTGATGTAGCTTCTATGAAGCTATTGCAGTGAAGAGAAGTTCCTTTCATGAAGTTCTGCATGAAGGCTCGCCTAGCTTCTTGTTTTAGGGATACTCTAAGTGCTCTCAAAAGTATAAAAGAAAATTCTGACCTGAGTTTTCAAGTTCTGACAATTTGTATCCCATTTGCCACTGTGATTTGAACGTGACACTAGTGAAATAAAAGATAACAAAGTACAAACACAAATATGTTTATCCTAAAGATATGCTGTTGCTGTGGGAAGAATTTACCTGCAGACACTCCATTTCTTCATCTTTCTTGTAGTTCTCATCCAGCAGATCTGTAAGAGAGTAAAACATCCAGCTAAGTACAATGTAAAAATGGATTGTTCTTATGAGTAAGCCCAATTCAGTCAGAACCTTGGCTACACTGTTGTCTGGAAGAAAGAATTTTATGTTTAAGGGAGAGAAGCTTGAAGAATCGATCGGACGAGATGAGGCAGAGTCCGGACCCTGGCAAACCAAAGCTAGCTGAGAAGCCACCAGATTGGCTTCATTTATGATACCTGAGAACGAACCCAACTCAATTACAAAGCATAAATCACACCAATGCTTTAGGAATTTGGCCCAGTGCTTATGTAACACAGAAGTTAACACAAAATCATCTTTAGGGTTTGGGGTTTTTTTTAAAGAAAAAATTAGACACTAACCATTCGTTTGTAAAACAAGTTCCTCAAACCAACTTACACCCCAGAGTAAATTTTTATTAACCAAATTAAAATATTCTGGAATGACTCTTGTTAAGAGAAGTAGACCATCTCCTTAACTATAAAGTCATATTTACTATCATTTCTCACTGAGAGGGTGGGGACCATTGAAGTTACCTCGGACCAAGAATTTGGCCCCGGCTCAGAGAAATTTGTGGCTGGAAGGGAAGCTTGTCAACTGAAGAGAGTTCTGTACTAATGTCTGTGTACAGCCCTGGTGTCTCAGTGCCCTACATTCATTTATGAACTTGCTATAAAGCAAAATATATTTGGCAAGCAGAATTTTCTGCCTGCAGCTATACCACCCTGTGCTATGATCTTATTAGATCTCACAAACCTAAAGAGGGCTGGGCTGAGTCAGGACTTGGAGGGAAACTGGCACGAAACACCTACAGCAGCACAGGCTAATATTAGTGTTTGCTTTACTCTGTGATTGATACAGTTTGCTGAGATCGTATGCTCCAAGAAAGGAAAATGTAACTTACGGAAACTCACTATGTAATACCCCAGAAAGGCAAATGCAAATGTTTTTAACAAGTGTTCCATGAGATGTAGCAGGCAGCAGTAACACAGTGGGTAGCGATGTCCTGCTGGTGTAGGTCATAACTGGGCAGGCAATGCCCTGCGATGTCAGGAGATCTGGCACATGATGTAATTGTCTGAAGATGGCCCTTTGAGACTCCATGGTGAAGAAGGCTACAGGCAACTGGCAAGCAATTCCCATTAGACATAATGTACTGGGATTAAGAATAAGAGGGAGATAAAAAAAAAAAAAGAATAAGAGGGAGCTCTTACTCTGCATACTATTAAGAAGCTCCCTCAACCTTCTATAGACAGTGTTACATCAACAAAGATGCATGCCAGTGCTTTGCCAGGTTCTCATAAGGTACAAGCATCAACTAATTTGGGTTTTGGTTGAAAACCATTGCAGTGGCCAGGCGGCAGTGGCACGATCTTTAGTAAGTTCACAAGGGGACAGAAGCCCCTACACAATAGCATGAGCAGCACAAAGTTGATTCCTATGAGGTCATCTTACAGTCTAACACCAACTGTCCTTCCTGTGATTCCCACCGCTTCTCTACTGGGTTCGAGAACTCATTGTGGTGGCTGTGCAGAACCCACAGACAGTACTGATGATGGCGGCGTGTACTAGGGAAGTGACTGATTACAATCTAGGTAGGCGAACACTCAGGACACAGTTCAATCAGCTTTGTGTCCTATGTGCTTGCAGGTAGGCCTCTCCCGGACCCATGGCCTCACAGTCGTGGCCTGTGCCCTTCTCATGCTAGTTTTACATAACTCTCCTAGCTCTGCCAGTTACGTATCACCCTTACTCAGTCGAGGCCTGACAGTCAGTGTTCGCCTCTCACTCATCTCTGGTTCTCCCCAGCTGCTTCTCAGTCTTGCTCCATCTCTCTGGTGCTATAATTCTTTCTCTCCATTTCTCAGTGATCTCAGGTTCAAAGGACATACTGTACCCTCTGGCTCTTTTCTTTTGATGGTACTGCCTCTGACACCGCTCAGCTAAAGCCTGGTAGTACGGTCAAACTGACCAATCTCCACGTTAGCATTCTGCACATCTTATTTGCATGGCCCCACTCAAAGGTGCCATTTAACTTATTTACATCATCAGCAAACTATCAGATCCCCTCCTGCATTTACATAGTCCCACCCAGTCATGGCTAGAAAAATCCCATTATCCATGTGGCTGTTATATGCTGTTGAGTCAGAACCAACCTCTACCTAATCCTCCAGTGAGTTTTCAGAGGCTGTAAATCACACAGGAGGAGACCGCCCATCCTTCTCCTGCAGAGCAGCTGGTGGATTCCTTTGGGAATGCAGCACGGTTTCTTATCCCTAAGCCATCAACACCCATACAACCGTGGAACATGTGGTAGTTACGGCATCCTCTGTCTTCTACATCCTGCCCTCTCTGTGTTGTGACTTTGCCACTATTTCCATCAAGATGTCATGTCTCTTTGTACATTTCTGGTGTCTGGGTTGACCTCTACTAGATTTGAGGAATGGAATTTAACAGAGGCAACTTCGTATAAGCACTGGATTGAAGATTCAAGAGGCTATATGCAAACAAGTATGAGACACCATCTCAACTTGGCAACCACAGCAAAGCTCAACAGGGCAGGAAGTAATAAGTGCTGGTGAAGTTGTGGAGAGATTAGAGCCCTTATTTACTGCCGGAGGGAATGTAAAACGGTGCAACCACTACAGAAGGCAGTTTGGCACTTTCTCAAAAAGTGGAAAAAGAAATACCATTTTACCCAGCAATGCCACTACTGGGAAGATACCCTACAGAAACCAAAACTTCCGTCCATATAGATATATGCACACCTATGCTTATTGTTATGATATTTGCAATAGCAAAGAAATAGAAACAACCCAAGGGTCCATCAACAAACAAATGGATAAAAAAAATGATGGTATATTCATACAGTGGAATATTACACAGCACTGAAAACAGTGAACTTGTATAACATTACAAAACATGGGTGACCCTAGAGGACATCATGCTGAGTGAAACATCTCAGTCACAAAAGCACAAATACTGCATAGCATCACTGTTATAAAGAAGGTCTGACATGAGAGAATAGAAAAAGGGTGGATAGATAATGCACCTTGCATTGGAACAGATGAAGGGAAGAACTGTTTAAAAAGAATATCTAATAAGGCATTATATATATGACAACAGTCCAGAGTAAGAGGTACATTGCAAAGAGGACTGAGGGGGAGGGAGGGAGGTAATTGTGCAACAATGAATGAATATTGTTTTAAAAAAGTGAACTGGGGGGAGAAGGGTGGAGGGGGTAAAATGTGCAACAATGAATGAATGAAAATGTAACTTTTGGGTAAACTGTCATGAAAAAAAATTATTAAAAAAGAGGCCATATACACATTTACCTTTGCCTCTTGGAACCACTCGTCGTCTAGATGCCAAAACATACATGGTCCAGGAGACTTCTTAACCCCACAACCCTGCAAGTTGTCACAGCAGGAAAACAGCAACTCTTCAGAAATAAAGTTGCTCCAGTCATCTCAAATGCAACTACAGGTTTATGGGGAGGCCTGCTATGACTGGACGACCTGAACAAACTTCAACTCATAAAATCGTGAGGTAAAGAAATGCTAAAGGATGGGGTAGTTTGGTGTTCGGTGCATGCTGACTGACACAATGATAAAGAGATTATTAGAATAGCTAAGGAATCCAGCTTGGACTTACTGCCTATTACTTTTTTAGGGGAAAGTATCAGACCCTTTCACTGACAACTCAAAAAGCGAAGTTTCCAAATGCAAAACTGGGACACTGTTAACAGAAGAAAGGGGGGTGGGTACCAGACCAACTCAATATGTCTCCCGCAGTCCGTACTACTAACTTGTATTTTTAAACTTTCCTTAACTTGCATGTGATCTTACAGCAGGAGTGGTATCCACTTCCTAGACAACATGCCTTTGGAAACTCTTATGAACTTTGATAAATGACAACAGTTATAGAAAGGCTTCAGGCCGTTTTGTTCATAGGGTCACTATGAGCCGTGCTTGACTTGACAGCAATCAACAACAACTGCACTTCTGGACGGTAGGAGGTTTTAAGAGCTGTAATGAATTACACTGTTAAATAGTGTAGTGAAGCCAGAGCAATGGATAGTGGGATCCATAAAAGAAAATTGTTATCATTCTTCCAGAGTCATCTTGGTATGGCAAATAAACACTCACGTCAGATTTACCACCTTCAATGTACTGGATCTCTTATTTATGCAAATTTAACCCACTCGTCTGATCAAACATAGGTGTGAAAATTTCAGTCTGTGTTTAGAATTTCATAGTAGAATTACTGCAGTTTAAATATTATGTTCTCTGTTTGCTCCAAATAGATAAAGGTGATGAGTGATGGTGTTCTGTCAAAAAAGATGACAACAGTAATGTTTGATTTGGGACACCTGAATAAAAGCTATAAAAGACTCCTAAATTGGCACTTAAAATAAAAGAGATCTTCTATTCTCGCCTTTGACACTCTGACTATAACAAGAATTGTAAGTAAACATCTGCTATGAGTATGAGGAATATGGCTGCCCCTCTCTTTAAGAACTTTGTGATTCCACCCATCCAGGTGATTTCTGTGCTACTTTTGAATCAAGAAGTCTGGCATATCTTCCACAATAGTGAGGCTAACAACTCCCAGAATCTTAGTCCCAAGTAGTACCAACAGCAACTCTCTTTTTAAGGACTAGTACAGATGGTAAGCTGATATATTTTGAAGAGGGTGCATCCAGAGGGCTCTTTGGAGACAAGAATGATGAGGCTTTGCCTCACATACTTTGAACATATTGCTAGGAGGGACTATTTCTTAGAGAAGGACAAGGTGTTGGGAAGGGTGGAGGGTCAGTGAAAAAGAGGAAGACCACCCTCAACCAGGTGGATTGACAGGGTGACTGCTGCAATGGTCTCTTTTGTGTCAAGAAGTGTGAGGATGGCGCAGGACAGGACTAGGTTCAGATTTTTTGTTCATAGGGTCGCTATGAGTTGTATTTGACTTGATTACACCTATTAACAACAGATGC